ATCATAGAATAAGTCAAAATATATACAGAGGGCGAGACAGCCTTCTGCGATATGCAGTGTAGTTGCAAAGACGTACAACTTAAACACATCTTAAAATTGATTTAGCATTTTGATTCAATTCAGAATTACCAGGCCTATAAATTGCAGTTCTCTATAGAACTGATTTATTTTTCTGCACCTCTACTGCTGATCCCCTTGAAATGCCTGTAAGTTTAGGAGAAGAAAAAAAACAACAACTTTGTGTTGGTTTGTCACATAAAATGCCAACAAATTACATTGAGGTTTTGGTTTTAACATGACAAAATGTCCAATGGGGGTATAAATACTTTTACAAAGTATTACAAAACATGGCTTCAACTCAATATGTATATTTTTGTTGCTGTATAGGTGAATACATCGTGACCTTTATTATAGTGGCTTGACTGCAGGACTTGGTATTGTGAACAGAATGTTACAAATGCAAATTACACTTCTTAAATAATTCAACGGCTTTTATAAAGAAACCCAGAATCAATTAAGGAAAGAGGCTTGATTTGACCTTCGTAGACCTCAAATGATCAGTGCTCCTGATAAGCCAGGAAACTCACAAAACTGAATGCCTAATGAGCACAGATCATAACCGTGGCTAGAATATCTATTTGTCCAAAAGCTGGACGCTTTGCCTAATTGAGTGACACGACACATTGAGGGACGATCAACAGTTTCACCTTTTGAAAAATGTACCAATATTTGGATGCACTGTTTGTTCTGTGTCTCATTCAGTTTCCTGTGCCAGGAACAGATGAGAGGTGGAGTAGACCTCGAACAGTTCATCAATCAGTTCCAGGGATCAGAGGAACACCTGCAGTGACTTGCAAAAGTATCAGGACCTCATAAACATTTGAGCATTTTGTTGCAATTTTACAACAAGCTTCCGTTTATATCATTTAAACTCGATGTGATGAGTCAACATGAAACACTGAGTAAGTATGAAACATTTTACAGATTTGTTTAACTAATAAAATGTGTGGTGTGCATTTGCTTTCTGTTCCCTTTATTCTTTAAGCACTGAAAATAGAGAATCAAGAAATCCATAGTACCATTAGAGATTCCCAGAAGAAGGTGAAAAAGTGAACATTTGGAATCACTCTTGATCAAAGTCAGACTTTTCAGCCTGTCTCCAAAATGCTGCGTGTGTTGGAAACAGACTGTAAATCACCCTGAACATGCCATCAGCAAGGTAGAACATGGTAGCAGATGCAATATATCGCGGGAATATTATTCATCAGAAGGAACAGGGAAGCTGGTCAAAGCTTGGAAGGATGGAAGGATTGGTAGTGAAGGTTCACCGACTAGCAGGTTCCCAAAACTTATAACCGTAGTTACACTATTCGTGTGTCAGAATGGCCAAATCAAAGAACAATCGTAACAACGGAAGATCATTCTACAAAGTAATAGTCCAGGTTTACTGAACATGAATGCATCCTAGAAGTTTCAGGTTTTAATCTGTCCAAAAAAACTTTACTTGCACTTCCGAATTAAATGTTAATTATCACATAAAAGCCCAATAAGACAAAGTATTTTGTTTTGTTTTGTTTATGAGAGTATCAAGAGAAAACCCAGCTGGTTTGATTCTTGACCCAGTGGATCTGATTTTTTTTTGTCCAAAAGATTGCATTAGCAAGTATTTAAGTAAGTTTACAGTCACTCCAGAACTACAAAAATTAAGAAGCAAAGCATTCATTGAAGTCATAAAAGGAATATAAAATATATGATCAACATATTAACTAACCGGTTCTATTACCCGGGACAAGCTATTGACACAACCGCAAGCAATAATGGAAAAGGAAAGTAAATGTGCTGCCCTCTTTGTCTTTCTTCCTCTAAAATAACTTACTGAAGAAACGTCACAAGCAACCATATAACAACGGAGCCACTGTACTGCACATGTATGCTGTTGATTTTATGAATCATCAAGAAACAACTAAAGTGACTGATCCCGCTCAGCTTGTTCTCAGAGACAGTTATTAAACTGTGATCCTCTCGTCTTAGACTTTCTTTAGAACCTTCTCTGGTTTATTGAAGAAAATATGTTCTTTCAATGAAAGAAGAAGAAGATGATTTATTAAAGAGGCATTGTATGAGCTTTATGCCATATGGGGGTTGTCTCTGCTATTCAGAGATTTTGTTCATGTCAAGACACATACACACATTGTACTATTTAGCTAACGATTTTGAAAATCATGCATCGTTTCCCTTCCATGTCCCACTTCTTTGCAACTTTGTTAATCATTTTTGGATGCAATGTGGCAAAAAGCCATTAGGCTCCAATGAAAATATCACTTAACATCTAAAAAGAAGGATGATGTCTTACCCTCTGTGTGTACTGCTGACACATAGGTCCAATTGTACTGTTTGACAATGTCCAACAGGGCTCTGGCTTGGAGAGTGTCCGAGGGCACAACTCTGAGGAAGTACTTGAACAACGTCTTATCACTGAGGTCAATGCTTGTTGCAGAATAGGCAATCTGCGGGATGTTGAACAGCTGCAGAAGGTTCTGGACTTGAATTGCAACCGAGCTTGAGCCAGGACCGATGACTCCTGCGATGGGCTTCTTGGTAGGAGGTGGCTGGCTGGAGGGTGACCCTTCAATGCACCACTTGGAGCCCTCCGTGTCATCTCGGATGGAGATGAGAGAGTCCCGTATGAACTCAATGCTCTGCTCCAGGGCCACAGAAGAATGCCAGCAGGAGTCCCTGATCTCACAGCCAAGGGTGATGTTGGGTAGCAGGTTGGGGTCCGAGTTTATTCGATCCAGGGTGTGGAACATGGCCTCCACTCTCTGGATGCCATACTGCTCACGGACTTCTCCGCATTTCCTCTCAGCAACCTTCTCCGCTGATGGCTGGTGGTGTACGGAAAACAGGGCACCTATTATTACATCCCCATCCATTCGTGCCACCAGGCGGGAGGCAGAACTTGGGACAACTGACCTCTCATACTTGCCTTTGGACAAGACGAATGCCTCAAAGAGTAAAATGGGCAAGTACAAATTGCTTATTACAGTCAGGTAAATCATGCTTGTCATTGTACAACAAGTGATGGGTGTACAATCATCTCCTTTGGGCCATAGTAGAGGTCCATTAATCCCGTATGGATTCAATGGGAACTTCAAGGGACCGTCTTCATTGCTTTTAACCTGCAATTGAGACAAAAACACTTGCACTACTTTTCATACAATGTCTGTCGGAGACATTTGAGTGGTCAAGATGACATTAAGTTTCCTGCCACTGGTAAATCTTTTCAGTTTCAGCACCTTGGACAGCTGCCTCTGCTGTGTGAGGAAATCAGTTGTTTTAATCTCTTTTAAACTTTTACCGAAAAGCATCACATACAATGCCAATATCTAATTGCGACATCTACTATCAACAGGACAATAGTTGACTGCACTACATTACACTACAGCTTGCATCCACATGCATATCGATCAGAGATAGCTGCATATCTAAGCTGTGTTAGGAAGCCTATTGTCGGGTAGCAAACATGAGTTTATTTACCTGCGACAGGCAGCTCCGGGTATGCGGGCTCTGTGTCTCCGGTGATGCAGCCAGACTGAACCCCAGCTTCTCCTTACCAACAGAACACGGTGGGACTGACTCCCTCTCTCTCTTTTCTATCTGCACTGATGCCCCCTTCTCCTCCTATTCCTCACTGCATCTTAAAAGCGGGTCATAGTCGCTGCAGTGTCCCTGATTTGAGTGCACAGTTTGTAAACGTCGGGGCGGGACAGTGACGCATTTACAAATCAGATTTTGGGGGCGAAGTATATTGGGACTGACGTGAAAAGAAAATGTATCCGGGGAGCAGAAATGTTAACTTTTAAAGCTAACATGACAGCACAAACACAGTACGATATAGGACGACATGCCAAATGATAACTAACTATGTAGGGACTAATCAAACTTCATGTACAGAAAACGCTCCTGTTTCGTTTGGTCACTGACAGATGTGATGCACGTGCAGTTTACCGCTGCAGCTGAAAAAAGGGGAAGCTCTCTTGTGACACCATGTGGTAAATATATGGTATGACAACCTTTATTTCAAATACAAGTTTAAAATCCTTTTAAATTGTTATCCCAATGAATAATATAAATAATTCATTAAATATATTTGAACTATACATTTAATTGTAGTTACATAATTAGATATATTAATTTATTATATTGGCTTTACATTATGACATAGGGAAAACTAATGATTTAGACTCATCAATCCGTTATGAAATACACAAGTAAACTATGAAATGTGGAAATTGCTGTTTAAAACTTGAATACATAAGGAGATCAAATTAAAATTAATTATGTATTTAGTATGTATTTGAACAATTCTTGTGATACATTCGAACATGGATTATTGAAAAAAAAACCTTCAGTATTTAACTACGAATTTATTAAATCAATAAATATGATACATTCCAACAAATATTAATCAATTACTTTTATTTTATTTGTGATATAAATATAGGCTAAATTATCTTACGACTTCAAAACTCACTATCTAATGAATAAGCCAACAGTTATATGAATTTATATGATGAAACATAAATATTTATTTCACAATATAGTAATGTACATACTTGTATCTTTTTACCCTCAATACACATAGGTATCAGAACCAGAACAAAAAGAAAAAAAAAAGTTTTTAATTGAATAACTTGAAAATATTACATTTGACATTTTGGTATTTTTTTATTATTATCTTCAAAATATATGTATATGCTAAATTTGACCTAAATTGTATGAAAGTAAAGATCTAATTTCTTATCGTGGAAACCCTTTTTATTATTTATTTTTAGTATGGCTTTTGACGCAGAACGAAGATGTTAAACTCTGGAAATTCTACGTCCTCAGACGGCAACAAAACAAAACAATAATAATAATAAAAAAGACGTCACTTAAATTGATCAGAAAAGACATTGAGGGGTTTTAGTTTCCAAAAACTGCTTTTTTCCCCCCTCAGACGTCACTTCCTGTATTTAAAAATGGCGGACATGAACGTCGCTGTGGATAATTGAACTGTGTTTTTGCTGCTTTTTCTGCTCGTTAATGAGGAGCTTCTTCATCATGAAGCGACTTTTGCTACAGTCGTAGTCAGCGGAGCAGCTTGGGGAAGGCTAAGAAGGTAAATGTTTTTAATATAATTTGCTGGTATGTCAAACGATAAATCTACAACGTTAGGTGAAAGCGCTCTCTGTACCGTTGTTTATATTAGCAGAAAGGCTTCCGTATTTCAAATCCTGAAACAGTGCCCTGTGCAGGTGGATAAACAAACTAGTTGCTGGTTTGCAGTAGGTTTTACCCTAAAATTAGAAGCTGTGTTAATGTACGTCTGTGTTTCACCTGATGTAATGGAGCCAAGTACATTACATAGGTTTTGTAATGATACAAATGCTCTTAACTGACAGGTTAAAGTAGTAAAATGACGAGAGCATCATAGTTAAAATGGTTGCTAATAACCCTTTAAAAAAGCATCTACTAGACGCAGCAAAATACAAAAGTTGCACTTGCATAAAGCATAAGAGACATTGTTGTGCAACGTTTTTTAATCATGATACTCAGTTCAAAGAAATGTAAAATATGAATAAACATTATTTACAGAGTAAGGCTCAATTCCAGCTTCTTGGCTCTCTCACTTTCTAGCTCTAGAGATTTAATTCAGGTAATATGGGACACTTCAGATTTTACTATTCTATTCTAATTTAATGTATGTCCCTTATACCCATAAATATACAGAATAAATGTTTGTATTGCCTCATAATGACACTTTATCTTGCTTTGTTTAGTTATGTGGCTCCTATTTTTGATGTGGTACAAGGTAATAAGTAATTCCTTATTAATTTTGGTCTCTGTTAAGGTTTTTACAATGAGCAGTCGAAGGAAGAGGGCCCCTCCTGTGAGGGTGGACGAAGAATCGAAGAGGAGGCTGGAATGGAACATGCTGGAGGACCGGAAGAACGAAGCCATCCAAGAGGACGACCAGACTCCGTCCTCTTCTTCCTGTCTTTCAGTCGACCCTACCGCCTGCAGCTCTTTTCTCTCCGCCGTAGAAGACATCACCGAGGAGGACGCCTGCGCTCGTTCGGTTCAGCTTTCAGATGAACTTCCCAGCACGTCCTCGGACAGCAGCGGCGCCGCCTCTGCCTCTCTGGCGGTCTCTGTGGTGCCGGCTTTAAAGCTGGGTCACGTCTGGAAGGCTCTTATCGGGGAGTTCAGCATCAGGCCGGCTTGGCTGCCGTCTGACTACGAGCACAGATCTTTTCTGGCGTACCGGACGGGCAAGCAGCTCTACCTCAGTTACAGCAGCTGTGATGAGAGCCCGGGGCCACAGTGGAGCTCTGAGGAGGACGGCTGTGCCGTGGAGTGCAGCCTCAGCAGGATCCCATTCGAGGACCTCGACTGGCTGCAGAAGAGGAGGGTGGTGCAACTCTGCCACCAGACCAAGGAGCAGGAAGTTAAGGTGCAAGTTAGGAGGTCGCTTAAACTTTTCCACATTTTGTCACGTTACAACAGAAAACTTTGTTTGGATTACATTTGACAGACCAACACAAATTGGAGCATAACTTGCTCTCTGTAAATTATTGGAACAGACTTATGTGCACCTATGAGTAATTAATCAATGAATTGCATGATAAACTTAAATGAGCTTGATAATTTCCATGGTGATGATATTTTTTTGACAGGCAGTTCTTTTCACAGAGACTTCATAATGCATCTTATTTACGGTTTGGGATGGGTGTGCTTTTTATTTCCATGTTATTTATTGATTTTGGTTGTTGTTTTGTTTTGCATACTTAAATATCTTCAAGTTCCAGTGTTAAATGTCCTTTACAAAATGAAATTATGCCATTTTGCCATTATAAATACATTACTGGAAAATGGTCTCAAAACACAACAGTATTATCATTAATCACGATAATTACTGGGACAATTTATCGTCCTGAAAAACGTGTTATTGTGACAAGCCTACTTATTGTAACATAGCAATACTATATCACAGGATTAGTGGTTGTAATATTAGGAAGACATATTTTTGCAATTAACTACAGGCATATTCACAAAATTAGATTACACACACCGATGAGGCTCGTTTGTCAGATTAAGTGTATTTTTGAAAATAACAACCTTTAAGCAATTACTAAGCATGCATTTCATTAATCCCATATTTCTGCTTTGAATATGTGTTTTTTTATGGTTTGAAGTCATATTCTAGTCTTAAATTTTGAGTGTCTATGAGCTGTAAGCAGAAAATCATCATAATTAACAGAAATGGAGGCTTGAAAACTTCTGTCTGTGTGAAATTTATTTGTATAATATGACCTGAATTTAGTTACTGAAATAAAAAAAACCTAATTTTTAATTTATTGAACATGACTGTACAGGTTTATAGTCTGTACACAGTAATGTTAATAATCCGGTATAATTAGTGATTAATTACAGATTTGTTTTCCGGATGCTTTAGAGCTAATTTAAGATATAATAATATTGTTTCCCTCATGCTGCATGAAAGCTGAGTGTTGTCTTTGTGTGACAGGTGGGAATTTACCTGCTGGAAACTGGGCTGGGGAAGCCAGAGTTCCTCAGCGAGGGAAACGCTCGGCCGAAGAAAGCGACTCAGATAATGCAGAAGCTGATGGAATATTTCTACGATTTCATCATTCCTGGTGCGCGTTTGGGCCCAGTTTGTAACGTTAGCCACTAAATGAACCCTATGCTCCTTCAGAGCCCTCTCTTAACCGTTTCTCCTTCTTTTTTATTTTGATGCAGAAGTCGTAGAGAACGAGGAGGAGGAGTGCGACACTGATCTGGAGAGGCAGAACGTGGAGGAACTCTACGATTACGTGAGGCACCAGCACCAGGAGGAGAACCAGGATGTAACATACGACGTCCAGCACAAGGTTCTGATTCCCGTCCTCAGGCCCTACCAGAGCCAGGCCGTCAACTGGATGCTGAGGAGAGAGAAATATAACATTAGTGCACCTAAAGGTACATATGATGATGATGATAGTGAAAGGTATGCATGTCCATTTCAGGGAAACTTGGGAATTTAAGTGATTACTTGAGACTATATAAAAGGTGAAAAAGACGTTTCGAGTGTTCGTAGAAAAAACCAGAGATTATGCGAGCTTTATATATTGAAGATTGTGATGTATTTTCTGCTTTTGTTTGTAGAACACTCCCTGCATTTCCTGTGGCGAGAGGTTGTGACTTTATGTGGCAAGAAGTTGTTCTATAATCCCTTTACTGGCTGGTAAGAAGAACCACTTTTTCTGAAACACGTGTAATCAATAATAAGAACAATAACAAATCTATTTATGTTCCTTGTCTTAGGTTGTATTTTAGTGCTTTCTCTTTGAGCATGTTTTTTTTTTGGTCATAGTGCTACAGTTGTTACTTAAGAAAAACAAGCCAGTAGACATTGAAACTCTGCTGAAGTTGCGCTGCCATTTTTTTCTCCCCCCCAATTAAACTCACACTGCAGCCTTAACCAGTAAAACTGGACACTTCCCTTGTAAATAAAGAAAAGTTCATGCACTGGTTTTTGGATAAATGTAACACCACCCACCAGTAGGTGGCGGTATAGCTCAACACAAATGTTATAGTTTGGATATTATATGGTGCTAAAGGAGGGTTTTACTCCTCAATGAAGCCATCTGGGTTTCACTTTCAAATCTGCTCACACAAAATAAAAATAAAACAACATTGAATGCATAAAATCATTGGATGTTTCTGCATGTGATGAGCAAAGCCACACACTTATGTCCTCCAAAGAGATTTTGTCACATCTTTGCAAGGAAATTTCAAAACGTTTTAAGCCTGACTGGTCCAGAAATGTGCATGTCTTACTAAGAAACAAAGCCGAATACCATAGGTAGTACAATTTTTGAAAAATAAACAAGATGCACGTTTTACAGCTCCTACCTAAAAGCTAGATTTTAAAGATATTGTATTAGTACCTGCAGTTTTATCTGTTTTTTTTTTCCATCCTGAAGCATATGTTTAGTTTTATCTGCGTTTCCTGTTATTTTAGCTTAATTCGAGAATTCCCGCTGGCCGGAATCGAGTGGCCCGGTGGGATCCTGGCCGATGAGATGGGGCTCGGGAAAACGGTGGAGGTTTTGGCGCTTATTCTCTTCCATACTCGTCAGAATCTGGAGCAGGAGGCCCTCACTTTGCCTGTGGTGTGAACTTCTTGCACAGTATTATCTTTTTGAACGAGACCTTTGAAAACTGCAACCCTTTTATAGCTCGTTACCTTCTGTTCACTGCAGGGAAAATCTGTGAATTACTTTGTTCCTCCTCGTCCGTTAGAAGTGAAAGCTACGTGCTACAAGCCTGAAGCTCAGCCGAAAATAAAAACGTCCCACCCAGGTGCGACACCCTCATCCGTCTCTTGACACATCTGTATGTTCAAAGTTGATCTTGCATTTTTTTAAAAAGTGGTTTTTTTGGGTGGGGGTTTTCTGCAGCTGTGCGTGTGATGTTGCTAAATGCAATAAAGGAGATGCGGACCAGCAAAGGAGCCTCTGTCAACGCTGTGTTCACCTACATCCGGGCCACTTACGGCTACGACCTCCTGAAGAACCGCAATCACATCAAGAAGACGCTCGCGAAGCTGATAAATGAAGGATTTGTCGACCGCGTAAAGGGCCGGGGTCTGGCAGGTTCTTTCAAGTTGGGGAAGAACTTCAAAGAAACAAAGAAAATCTTGTCTGCAGCGTCCAAGTTGGTAAGAATCTGCAACTTCCGTGTCAAAATTTGATGCCGTGATTAATCGGTCACTTTGATTTCTCTCCTGAATCAACGTTTGTCTTTGTTAGATCTTCAGACCAGCAGAGAGCACGCCAAGGAAGACGTTTCAAAGGCGAGCGAAGGAGAAGGCCGAGGCGGCTCTCCAGAACTCCCTCTCAGACGATCAGAGAGATCTGAGCCCCGCATCGGACCGGCGTGACACAGAGCGAAAAGAACAAAAGCAATGGGAGGAAAAAGCGAACAAGAAAGCCAATCTGGAAGATGGTGCAACGTCGACGGGTTCTGCCGCGGTATCTTTACGGCTTTCTCTGGGTAAAGTTGAGTCAGACACACAGGGGATTCCCGGGGCAGACAGAGGAGAAGAAGCCTCTGGGACGGATTCGCAGGACAAGACGGAAACTCCCACCAGAGTGTCCGTAGTCCCGTTCAACACTGCCGATTACCGCTTCGAGTGCATCTGTGGAGAGCTGGGCATTATTGACTACAAGCCGCGTGTGCAGTGTATGAACTGTCAGCTGTGGCAGCATGCAGAATGTGTGAACTATAAGGAGGAGAGCCTCACAACCACGCCCTTCTACTGCCCTCACTGCCTGGTGGCTATGAAACCAGTATCCACTGGTGCCACACTCATCATTTCGCCCAGCTCCATCTGCCACCAGTGGGTGGAGGAGATCAACCGCCACATCAGATCCTCCTCCCTGCGCGTGCTGGTGAGCGAGATTTATTTACTTTTTTTTTTAAAGCGGCTAAATAGTTCTGCAATCAATTAGCTAATCAATTGATTGGCGATTAATTGATCCATTGTCAGTTATTCTGATGATTAATTGATTAATCGGATAAAAATACTGTCACATTCTACAGAGTTTTCATTTAGCTACTTAAGCCTTTTCAATATAATATTAGGAATACAATAAAAGATGCAAAGAAACGTTCAATTAATGTTGTAAATGAAAAATGAAACATTTTCTTTTGCCTAAAATGCATTAACAAAGAATTTCTTTAGTAAATTTGAACCTGGTGAAGCTAAAACTACAACACCCGAGGAGTTTTAGATAAAACAAAGGCATTTTACAAAATGGATATATATTTTGTACAATTTTGACTAATCGCTGCTAATCACTGAATATATATTTTTTTATTTCAGCAAATGACCTTTTTTGAGGCTGTATACTCCAGTTAATGATTAATCAATTATTAAATTAGATTCATCACGATTAATCCAATTAATCGTTTCACCTCTATTTGGTTTTAAAGCCTTCTATGTCTTTCTATGTGTTGGAAATAGTTGTCATTCTGTCTTATTAAACTCCACCTTACATCTGTTTTCTCACATTTGAGTTTATTTTTTTTACAGCTCCTGCTCTTCTCTAAAATAGCTCCGTGTGTGTGTGTCCGTCTCTCAGGTGTATCAGGGCGTGAAGAAACATGGGTTCATCCAGCCTCGGATGCTCGCCGAGCAGGACGTGGTCATCACCACCTACGACGTTCTTCGCTCTGAGCTCAACTACGTCGACATCCCCCACAGCAACAGCAAGGACGGCCGACGCTTCCGCAACCAGAAGCGCTACATGGCGGTCCCCAGCCCTCTGGTGGCCGTGGAGTGGTGGCGCATCTGTCTGGACGAGGCCCAGATGGTCGAGTGTCCCACTGCCAAGGTGAGTCGAGGTCGCGCTCTTCTGTTGTTCATAAACGTGTCAATTTACGTGTGCTACTTTTCTGGCCGCCAGGCTGCAGAAATGGCTCTACGTCTTGCCTCCGTCAACCGTTGGTGCGTCAGCGGCACTCCCGTCCAACGAGGCCTCGAAGGTAAAGTTGTCGATGGAAAACCGTCGACCTGAGTCCATTGAATCTCTCCGCTCCCCACTGAACTCGTCGTGTTTTGTAGATCTGTACGGCCTGACGCTTTTTCTCGGAGTGGATCCATACTGGGTGAAGTACTGGTGGGACCAGCTGCTTTATCGCCCCTATCGCCGCGGAAACACAGAACCTCTGTACAATGTGATTGCTCAGATATTGTGGCGGTCGGCTAAAAAGGACGTCATCGATCAGGTAGGGTTTTTAAGAGCCCCGCGCCGACTTTTCAGACAATTTCACCGAAACTAAATGCATTATTTATTCTTCCCTCTTCAGATTCAGATCCCCCCTCAGACAGAGGAAGTGCACTGGCTTCATTTTTCTCCTGTTGAGGGCCATTTCTACCATCGCCAGCACGAGGTCTGCTCCCAGGATGCTCTGGTCAAACTCAGGAAAATCTCCGACTGGAGCCTGAAACTGGGCAGCCTGGACCGCCGCACCGTCAACACCATTCTGTACCCGCTACTGAGGCTGCGCCAGGCCTGCTGCCACCCGCAGGCCGTGAGGGGGGAGTTCCTGCCTCTGCAGAAAAGGTTTTCTTTTAGCACCCACTAATTACTAACCCTGCTAGACTAGGCAGAGTCAACCAGGAAGCTAATAGGGCGCATTTGTGTTTATTTTAAGCTCACCAAGTCTGCGTAGGCGAGATTTAAGCGCGTTTCTCTTCTTTCAGCACCATGACAATGGAGGAGCTCCTCAAGTCCTTGCAGAAGAAATGTCGAGTGGAGTGTGAAGAAGCTCACAGACAGCTGGTGTGCGCACTCAACGGCTTAGCTGGAATTCACATCATCCGAGGTATAAAACGCCCGCCCGCTTTGCTCCCGTTTCCCATGGGAAGAAGTTCAAAACAAAACACGATCTCATCTTTGTTGCGTTTTGTACGGATATGTGAGGTTATTCCTACAGTCTCATCTCATTACCTCAAATTGCAGCAAGAGTCACTCAGGACAACTGCTTCTTTTGTCACCTGCAGGCGAGTTTGTGGAGGCCGCAGAGATGTATAGAGAAGTTCTTCGCTCATCAGAGGAGCACAAAGGCCGGCTGAAAACTGATTCATTACAGGTGTGTGGGATCATTGTTGATTATTTTTCAACACTACATTGACGTTTGTGGTTGAGGGTGGCAAACGTAGAAAAATTCAAGGGGTTATAAATGTAGGAAGTCATGCTCTTCTCCGGTTTTGTCCAGACATAAGAGTTTAATATTATTCTTTCACCATTAATGCAAACCAGCGACTTCACGCCACTCACAACCTAATGGAGCTGCTCAATGCAAAGCATCGTGGGATTCCTCCAACACTCAGAGATGACCGACTCGGTGAAGAGGTACGCAGCGCAGATTTGTTACGAAAACAAGTGTAGTGTTTTAGATATAAACATCGTTGGAGGTCTGTTCCAAATTCGTTTCCTTTTAAAATATTTGTCTGCAGGCTGAGCAGCTGCGGCAGCATTACATGACCAAATACGACTCGGAGGTGGCCGACGCCCACCAGGCTCTGCAGCCGGTGCTACAGAACATCAAAGAGCTGAAGCGCAAAGTGAGAAATGGCACATATTCTTTCAAAAACATTCAAACATTCGTTGTTGCTGTCAGATTTATTATTTTTACGCTACAGAAATAGATGAATTTTTCAATAATTATCTGAACAAGATGAGCAGTTACAACAGAAGTATTTATTATTGTTTTATTGCTTTTTCTGTTACTTGTATTTTCTTGTATTTCTAGTTTTTGAACATGACAAATAAACTTGAGTAAACAAACTGCAACATCAATAGAGGCAAAATAAAAAAATATAAAATGAAAGAAAATTTACTCAAAATTAGTCCTGAGATTTTGGGCAGATATGTTCCATTGCTTTCATGTTGCTGTTAATTAAGAATCCAATAGTGTAATTAAAATAATTACCTCACTATTTTCTGAGATAATTTGAAAAAGATAAGCTTCCAATCAGACAGATTTACTTTTTAATCTCCAGGTGAACTTGAACTCCCCCTGGTGGTTGGAAGTCGTCCAGGTGTCAACTCGCTGTTCCACCGATGAAGATCTGGTGTCTCGTGTGAAGAATGAGCTAACTTCCAGCTACAAGCAGCAGGCCAACAAACTCTCCATGGCAGACAAGTAAAACGCCTCTGCTTAGCTTCCACTGTTAGCAATCACGCTAATAACAACTAAAAACATGCTGGGTTCCCTGCAGGTTCCGTGACGCTTGTGGTCTGCAGTTCCTTCTCACCACACAAATGCAAGATCTAATGAAGTCACAAAAGACGGTCCGAGACGCAGTGAAGAGTCTTGAGGGCCCAGCTTCTAAGGAAGTGATTGAAGAGGCCACCATTTGCCACCTTAGGCCAATGCGACTGCCTCTCAATAAGTAAGTTACCGATACCAGTACTCTGGGTCATCATCACATTATACATGATGCTCTACAATATGTACAATATGTAGTTGTATGAGCGACCCCTCTTAAAGCTTTTATAACTAACATGTGTTTTACATATTTGTTAAAACTGTGACTGTGTCATGACAGCAGAGCACGAGACAGATAAAATGTGGAAAAAAATGTTATCTCCTCCATGTGGTTCTACTGCCATTGTGAGAAATACACCGCTTGGCCAGAAACAACCAATCAGATCCAGGAGGAGAGTCAGTTATGCTTGGATACGTGCTGCTCACACCTTCCACCCTTCCTCTCTGCTACCCTACAGCTAGCTCCTCTCAAATTACTAAGGCTAGTTAGCATGGCCACTGATGACGGTGGATATGCAATTTTTTATAAGAATGTGCCATTAGCACATTTAGCACCATGTACATGAGCATGATTGACAGTGCCAAGACCCTCCTCCTGGCTCTGATTGGTTGTTTTTGACTGAGCTGTGTATTTCTGCAGATGGCAGTGGGACCACAGGGGAGCTTGATACATATATATATATTTTGTTTGTTTTCCACAGATCATCTGCCTCATCAGGACATAGTGACAGTTTTAACAAATATAAAAAAAATATTGCTTATAAAAGTTGCATAAATCAGCTTTAAAAGTCATGAACTACACCTCATCTCTTTTTATGTCACAGCTGTGTGTTTTGTAAAGCCGACGAGCTTTTCACTGATTATGAATCCAAGTTGTTTGCTCACACGTAAGTAAGCAGGCACCTTGAGTTTTCCAACTCGTATTGAAATTGAACACCCGAAGTGATAGAAACAAAATCCGTCGTCAGGGTGAAAGGCCAGACGGCCATCTTTGAAGAGATGATCGAGGATGAAGAAGGCCTGATGGACGACCGCCTCCCCACCACCAGTCGCGGTCTGTGGGCGGCGAGCGAGACGGAGCGCACTCTGAAAGCCATCCTGTCGTTCGCCAAAGCTAAGCGCATGGACCCAGAGCTGGTGGAGGAGGGCAACACGTTCATGGAGCTGTTTGAGAACTGGAAGAAGGAGTATAAGGTAAGTGGGCTTCTCTTATATTTTGGAATTGAGGAAGAAAGTTTCCTGTCTGCTTTAGGAAAAATGTCAAATTACAAAAGGTCAAAGAGATTTTTATATTTGTCTGTAACTTGTTACACAGCTGTACTTTTGCAAGTTAAAAAGAAGATTCATTTGGTGTTATTCCAGGTGTTGCATGAGTACTGGATGGTGCTGCGCAATCACGTGTCGGCCATTGACGAGTTGGGCATGGCGACTGAACGGCTGCGTGTTCGTCTGCCTGACGAGCCGAAGCCCAAACTGCTACACATTATAGAACCACATGAAGTAAGTAAACAGAGTGATGCAATCTGTCACTAATCAGATGTTTAAACCCGTCTTATCAAAGTAGGACTGTACTATATGACTGAAAAACATATCATGATATAATAGTTTCATATCAGTCAATATCGATAATTACTGATTAGTTTTTTGTTTTAAATATTTGCAATGCTGACAATCTAGTGCCATGACCTTTCCTGTTTTATCCACAGTTTTTACTCTGTCATTATTTTATTTTTAAGCAGTCATAACAAATTTTGCTGGATGATAAATTGTCTCAGAAGTTATTGTAATAAACAGTAATGCTGTTTTACACAATTTTAAGTTATATAATGGTATATATGTATGTGGGTATTTTTATTTAACTAGGAAGAAAATCTAACTGAGTTAAAAATTATTGCGCCACGAAAGCAAAACCTGAAACTGCTGCTTCGCATGTTACTCCACAGGTTGTTGCTAGGTAACCAAAGAGCAAGTGAGTTAGTTGATGAGGCTCACTTTGCTTAGCTAATCTTGAGAGGTTAAAGTCTTTTCTCTGCCTACATCACCCAGAATTCTGTGCGGTTCTGAACGCAGTGAAATGATTGAATATTCTATCAGACATATTATCTATTGATTGATGACGTGTCTGTTGCATTGTTATTGATTTATTGTCCAGCCCTACATTAAAAGGTAAAGTACGTTTATCTAGTTTTGACCCTTGTGCTCGCTGACTTTAATTATGAAACATTTTCACTGATAGTCTGTCGCTTTTGTTGCTTTTCTATCTTTTTTGCCCTCTGCTCTCCATGGTTTTGCCGTCAGGTGGAGCAGAACAGGGTGAAGCTCCTGAACGATCAAGCTGTGGCCAAGTCTCAACTCCAAAAGAAGCTTGGACAGTTTCTGTATCTAACCAATCTGGAAAAGGTACGTTTATAATTGTTAGCAGCATTTCGTTGTATCTTTTGGAGTAATTATGAAACATTTAATGTAGTCTGACTCCATGTTCCATGAATTTTGTATCCAAGTCACAGGACAAGTCAACTGGTGGGCTGAACCCAGAGCCATGCCCCATCTGTGCTCGTCCTCTGGGGCAGGAGGTGAGTGTTTTATATTAAATATATTAAAAGAATGAAAGAACAAGGCTCAACTTTTAAGCAATATTCTCATAAATATCAATTTAAAACAATTTTGCTTTTGGATGCTTATTGATAAGCTTGTCAAAATAAGCAATAGATCATGATAAATTTGAATGATAAATTAAAATGAGTTCAATATTTTCCATTTGTATGAGTTGGCGTTTTTCTCTTTTCATACCAAAAATTACCAAAAATTGGACAAAAGTCATCAGTCTGGTGCTTTGGTCTCAACCAGCCCTAGTTTTATTTACAGACTTCATGATTCATATTATTTGCCGTTTCTTTTCTTTTCTTTATTTTGAATATTTAAAATGTCTTGCATTTCCTGTGTTAAATGTTCACGAGAATTTAAAGTTTATTGATCTTTGACAATGTCTGGCATTATCATGCTATATGACCATTATATCACATGAAAATGGTCTCAAAAATAACTTCTGGGACAATTTATTGTCCAGTAAAATGTGTGTGACAGGCCTACTAATTGCTTTTGAATTTTTTATAACATCTAACATTTGACATTTAATCAAATTTACCACAATCTCACTGCTATTATGCTGTTCTCTGGGAGCAGCGAGTCAAAAATAACCTCAATCAGGTTGCAAACTGTGAACTACTTACTTTCCACCGTTATTTCCTCCTTATAGTGGGCCGTGTTGACTTGCGGCCACTGCTTCTGTAACGAGTGCATTGCCATCATCGTGGAGCAGTACAGTGTGGGCTCAAGGCGGCGAGCCATCAAGTGTGCCATTTGCAGACAGACCACTTCCCACACAGAAATCTCCTATGTGTTCACTACCCAGTCTTCCAGCCACGACCAGGACATACCAGTCAAGGTTGATCGACAATTGCATTTTAAACATGTTAAGTTTTGGACTTTTTGTTAACAGCTGTAATTGTTTTGTGCAGGGCAGCCACTCTACCAAAGTGGAGGCGGTTGTGAGAACACTAAAGCAGATCCAGATGAACAATCCCGGAGCCAAATGTCTCGTCTTTTCAACGGTAAATGAAGCATTTCTGCTGCGAAGGACTGTGGTTTGTTGTGATATTGAGCTTGGATGTGATCTGGATTGTTTCCTCGTGTCTTGCAAACAGTGGCAGAGTGTCCTGGACATCATCGCCAAGGCCTTGTTGGACAATAACCTGGAGTTTTCACAAATCAATGGAATTCATAAGTTCCAGGTTTGGCTTTAAACATTTCACAGAAATCATAGCAAACCATCTAGATCACTGATATTTTTTTTCTTGTGTGTTTTCAGGAGAATCTTAGTTCTTTCAAATACGATGAAAAGATCAATATTCTCCTCCTCCCACTCCACACTGGCTCCAATGGGCTGAATATCATCGAAGCAACACACGTGTTGCTGGTCGAACCAATCCTCAACCCAGCTCACGAACTCCAGGCTATAGGGAGGGTGCACCGGATTGGCCAAACAAAGTAAGCGACAGGAATCTAACTTGAGTTCCCACAAGTAAAGATGTAATGAGGGGTAATGTTTCCCATTTTCAAAGCTTTCTTATACAGACTCAAATGATCACTTTATGACAATTACAAATTCACAATCTTACATCAAGCACACATACAGAACTTTTCATTGATGTCTTTTGTATATTTAACTTTAAGCTTTTAGTTTAAACTTCACAGTACTCTGCAAAAATGCGCTTCCCCTTTAAATGGTTTTACAATCTGTGTTGCCTAGACCACAAACGTCAGTGCATTTTATAGGGATTTTTATCTGATGAATCAGACAAAGTAGTACATCATTGTGGACGACTTTGGCTGAATTAAATGTGTTTAATTATCTCTTTGACCTATCATATAAACACATGGAAGTTTGTGGTTGGCACATGACAAAATGTGGGAAAATGTAACATTGGTGTTCTCTGTCCAACAGGCCGACATTTGTACACAGATTCCTGATCAAATCCACTATCGAGGAGCGAATGCAAGCGATGCTGAAGACGGCAGAAAAGAGGTGGTTTTCAAAACACCATCATTGGTATATGTACTATTAATTTAAATACTAACAGAATGTGTTTTGCTTTAATTGTAGTCACACCAGCACAGCCATGAAGCATTCGGAGGCTGCCGTTCTGACGGTGGCTGACCTGGCCGATCTTTTTACGGAGGACACCGAACCTCTGGAGTGAATCCGAACAGACTCTGTACCCAGTGGCAATGGAAGTACTATGATTTTGCACATTCCTTTTTATATACATATGTAAGCAACTTACGAAATGCATTTCCAAGAATATATTGTTGTTGTTTTTTTAAGCAAATCACTGACAACAAGCAATGTATTTAAAGCCACATTTTAATGTAAGTCAGTTCTCGTTCTAACAGACTCAGCTGTTTATATTCACTCTCGGTTGTAACGTTTGACTAGACTGTACAGCATCATGCGCTACTCTGAATCTCACTGTACGGCCACAATAAAACCTCATTCAGGTGAAGCTACCACAAGCGGTAAATAAAAGTGTGTCAGTGAAACAATGTTGGCTTTTTATTTATTTCATTAATGAACGAATAAACAGGAAACCACTCAATCCACTCGTATTTACTCTTACAAATGTCTGCTAAAACAATGACAGGGAGACGAACCAAATTGTAAAACATGTCTCATTTAAAAAAAAAAAAAAAAACACAAGATTTGTTGTGTTTGAAATAAAAGAACGTATAAAATCTAACAAAGGTGAAGAGGATTTCTGCCTCACTTCATCTTTTTTTCCCCCTTTATTTCCATTTGCAAAGTGCCTGAACAAGTTTAATGTTCAAAATGATTTAATACATGTTGGTTTTAAGGTTTTTTTTTTTTTTTTTTTTTTAAAATGAGGATGTATTTCTTGAATTTGCATGCGGTAGCGGGATTTCACTCCGTGTCTAACTACACACATGCAAACTAGTCAGTGAATTGCCCTTGACCTATAATGAGTCTCTTTTGTCCTTGCCAACTGGGATTCCCGCACCAATAAAATGTTTTAAAGTGTCCAAACAAAAGACGGAGAGAACAAAGAGTAACCCTTTCAGGGTTTTTTCCACATATATAGTTGCTCCCCGCGGTAAGCAACTTAGTAAGGTGTTTACTAAGACGACATCGCTGTAGTAGGTGGTGTCATCCGTGTTACCTTGGACTCGCCTCGGTCAACCCTATTCATGTGTGGAATCTCATTGTTGTCTGAAGCATCATTCAAACTGGTGTTTTAATGCCAGAGAAGGGGATAGTGGGGTGGGAGGGTGGTCCCAGTTCATTTAGAGCTGGGTTTCATGGGTTGGAGAAGGAGAGAAGCGCTACATCTTCTGGTGACAGTGAAATTTAGGGAAAGATTCAAGCAGCAGCAGAGTGGCAGAGCAGAGAGAAACCAGAGGGACAGGATGTGGAAGATGGTGTCCAGCGGTGTGGTTTTCACCTGGTTGCTCTTCGCTCAAACGACGGCGGTCTCGGCAGTTCACCTGGAGCCCATGGTGGAGGGTCAGTGCACACTTTACAAACCGCATACATGATTCAGTATCAAAAATCAGGCAGAAAGCTCTTTTACTACTTGTTTTCTTCACTTCTAAGTTGTAGTTATTCGTATAATTTAAATATGAGTAATGTATTATGTGTTGAAGGGAAATCTGACTCAATTTGAAGAGTAGTCGTCCTATAATCAGAAAGTTCTGGGTTTGATTCCAGTTTTTTCCTGTTACTTATTGTTGACTTAACCCCAAGTTGCCATTATGAAGCTTTTCATTATGTTGACAATTTTTAAAGAGAAATTCACAGTTCTGTAAAAGAAAAGTTGTTTTTATTTGCCACACTTAAATGTTCCTAGTCATCTAAAACAAAAACAAAAAAGCTTGATCTCACTAAATAAAATCTATTGAAACCAACATTCCCTTAGGCCACATTTTTGGACAGCTTAATTTCACTTCTTACACCCATATCACTTGTATCAGTTGCCTCAGTCCTCGCATGCACAAGGGTTAAGTACCTGTCTGACAGTATGAAGTAGGTGTGATCTAAATTCAATGGAAGGGAAACAGAGTCGCTGACATTTATTGATCTGAAAAGGCTGATGAAGTCATTCCTAGGGGTTGGCTTTCACTGGACTGACGAGACAAAGTGCAACCTTTTGAAAGGTGTACATGTGCTGAAGTGTATCAGACGAACATCACACTGATAATGAAACATTGTGGGGGCATTGTAATAATCTGGGCCTGCTTTGCTGATTGAAGCACATATTCTGCTCTCTTATAGAGAGAATCCCAAATGAGAATGTCTGGTCCTCAGTTTGTGACCTTAAAGTCAAACAAATTTCTGCTATGTAGTAGAATAACGATTCAGAGCACAACATCAAGTCCACTTCTGACTGAATGGCTCAAATTGAACTTAAAGGACTTCTCCGGGTCAGGACTTCAATCTTGTTGAAATACCGTGGCGTGACCTTGCTTTCTCTAAAGGGACTTTTTTATTGTCCTCTTGTTTGAAAACCTTTTTTTGCCCCCATTTTTTAAACACCAGAGCTCAATGAAACGGTGATTTGTACCAATGACCAAATGGACGTCATTATTCCAAGTGTGTTTTTCCTCAACAAGGTTCCTCCAGTTGATGTGAGCAAAACCGTCCCAACATTTTCTCTTCAAGTGCGACCACAGCAAAACGTGAACCTGTGTGACTTTGTTTTTCAGGTCGATGATTTGCATCTAAATGATCCAGAATGCAGAGGAGAGGAAATCGGGGACAACTTTGTTTTTAGCATAAAGACGAATCTCTCAGACTGCGGGACCATAATGGTAGGACACTAAACCTAAATGGTAGAAAACTTTTTTTGTTTTTGAGTGTTTTGCAGCACTCATCTAATTAATCAAACATTGCACGTGAGCTCAGACATTTAGAACAGCTCCTTACAAATGAGAGAGGCTTTAACTTTAACTGCTATGGAGACAAACAGCACTTGGTATCAGCATAATGGGCGATGTAAAACTGCCACTAATAAATTTTCTATTTTACGATGGCTACCTTTGTTCTGGGGCTAGTTCCCAGCCAATTAGTGTTGCTTTTGGCACCAACTTGTGCTATTAACATCTTTTTTTTAAACAAAGGTGACTTTTGAGTTGCATAAAAATGAGTCAAGGAAATGTAAAAATAAATTAATTAATTAATTAATTAATAATTTAAAAAAAAAACTGAGAGAGGAACAAACTCTGAAGTCCAGCCAGAAAAAAGTGAGGCGAAAAGAAATAGGGAGTGGCTCTTTTTTCATCAGGAATTATGGGTAGTGTTTCTTTCAACCTCATTCAAGGGAACCCTGAAGATTTTTATTGGGAAAGCTAATTATTTATTGAAAGTTCTCTGAATAAGAAGGTGGTGAATCACTGGCCATTTCACCTCCTGATCATTTTAATCCGGTCACTTTTACGAGTTTTGGGGAGCTTTAAATGCTGGCTGCACCACACAAGTTTTCTCAAACTTGGAATGTTTGAAGGTTTCTCGTATAAAGAAAGCCAAAGGTTAAACCAGCTTTCACCGGGGGAGACAAACCCTGCCAGCTCTCCACCTCAGTGTTTTACAAGGTTTCTGGCACAGCAGCTGGTGAAAGTAACCCTCCACACAGGATTAGGCTGTGGGTTGCTAAAGAAGACTGGCTGCCTCAGCTGCCAGAGCCGCTTTCACCCTGACTGTAGATCTTTAGAAACTTTTAGAAACGTCATGTGATAGACAAATTCGCAGTTGTGCAGTGAAAGGTCAATTAAATGTGCTTTTTATTATTTTGATGGAGCCTGGATGGAGATTGTCAGGTGGATTTGGTGACATCTACCTGCCACTGATAGCCCTAACCCTTTGGTCCCGTCTCACCAGAGCAATGTTTTCTATTTAACCTGTCATTCACGAGAGGACCCAAATTTGGGTCCTCTCCTTGTGAATGACAACCTGTGAATGACAGGTTAATACATTTGCTTAGCATAAACAAATGTATTGAGTAAATTCCGAGAGGTTAGAGTCCTCGTCAAACGGCGTTTTGACTAAAGTCCAAAGGGTTGGAGTCCCAGTTAACGGTGTCTCAACTAAAGTTCTTCAGCTTTTTATTTCTTTTTCTCACTGTTTACGTTTTAATTATGTTTTTTAAATCTCTTTCTCACATGCTGTTTTTATTTTAATTATGTAAAGCACCTTGAAATGCCTTGCTGCTGAAATGTGCTATACAAATAAAATTTGATTGATTGATTGATTGATTGATTGATTGATTGATTGATTGATTGATTGATTGATTGATTGATTGATTGATTGATTGATGCGGCCTCATACCTTCTGATTTTAGTTGACCTTGAGTTCGTAGGGGGGCTTTTTGGCAGCAGTGTCCTCCACAGCAGGTTGCTGGACGGATCCTTTTGTGTTTTTCTTGACAAAAACTTCCCATTTCGTGCTTGCTACGCTAGCTTGTCGAGCAAAGCAACTGGCAGCCAATCAGAGATGAGCGTGGCAAATAACATTTGAATAAGTTATTCTAACGTATGTTTTACATTAATGGCTAAAAAGCAGACTGAATATTATGATATCAAAAGTTACAATTGAAAACTTATGATTAAAAATGTATAAAATTCAGTTTTTTATTTTCGCATTTTTTCTCATCTTTCGTCAAATTATCCGAGTCACCTGTAGCGACCCCTGGTGGCCTCCACTTCGAAAAACACTGCTCTTTACCACTTGTAGCGACTGATGGCTTACTTTTGATGATGGTTTTGTTTTTGCCTCTTTATTTTGGTCTTAAACAAATACAAAACACTGAAGTTTATGACTGTAATGTGACATGTGAAAAGGTTCAAAGAGTATGAATAATTTGGCAAGTGGCTGTGTGTAATATTATGGGATACCTGTTTTCCTCAGCATGCCTTACACATGAGGAAAACGTCTCAACTAATTATTCTTGTTAACTTTCTGTTCCTTGATCTCTTTATAGGTCTCTGATGATACACACATCATGTTCATCAACACTATACACAATAACTATTCAGATATCATCACAAGAAACTATATAAACATCACGTTTGTGTGCCGCTACCCCATAAACTACATGGTCCAACAACCCAACAGCGAAAACATGATCCGAGTGGATGTTCGGTAGGTGATTTGTGTGCTGCTTCTTTTTATTTATACCCCTGACATCTGATTTAACAATAAGACTTGTGTTTGCTTGACCTCTTCAGAAGCATCACCCTGAACACTGAGGATGGGAATTTCTCAGTGTCAATGCTGCTGTACAAAGATGAAGCCTTTGAGGACGTGTGGACAACTGTGCCGTCCCTGACCCTGGATGAAAACATCTTTGTCAAAGTTTTTATGGTATCTCTGCAGATAAAGAAAGCCCTACAATAAAAAGTAAAAAGTAGTCCCCCACTTTATTTATTTAGTGGGGGGACTAAATAAATAGTCCCCCACTAAATAAATACACATTTATTTAGTGGGGGACGTGGTACGAGGCTGAATGAAGACCCGTATTTATCCTCAACTCTCCATAACTGTCATGATTCAGGTTTTGGGTGAGGTGAGGTAAGACGCAGGCATGCCCAGGATGATGAAAATAATTAATTTTAATGAAATGACCAAAACAGAGACAGCCCAGGGAACAGATTGACGACATAACACACGACGAGGATCCGACACAGACAAAGACAACAGGTGGGGTTAAATACACAGGGAAGGTAATCAGGGAACGGGATACAGCTGGGAGCAATCAACAGGGAAGACAGATTCACAGGGGAAACTGGACTAACACAGAAAAACTACACAGAAAACACAGATCCTAACAATAACTTACAGTTAGAGATTTACAGCCAGGAGTGACATTTTGGGGACATCAAATTTGTATAAAAACCATTAGAGGCTATCTCCATGCCAACTGGTTGTTCCTGTCCTTTTGTCAGAAATAAAAATGGACTTTGTTTACATTGAGTTTCAGTTGAAATTCAACTGAAACCCTGTGCTTCAAATCAGACTAAGATTAAGCGTTCTGGTAACAAACACTCCTCCGTTTTGCATTAAACAAAGGGTAATTATGTGTAAATGTGCCGCTGTACAACATCTGTGGTGCTTTGGGCCTATCTCTCCTCCAAAGACCCTTGGAACACACGAAAGGAACTCTGAACGATATAAAAAAGTGAACAAAGATGGCAAATATTCTCTCTTTATTTGCTCCAAACTTGTGAAATGCAATACACAAACAGTATGGGCTGCTCTGTTGGGGTTTTGTTTCTTAACACAGAATATTTCCCGTGTTAAGAAATACCCCATTTAATTTATATACATCAAGTAAATGTATATAAATCAAATATTAAATTTAAAGAATTTTTACACATCCTAACCAAGTGTGATAATGAATATGACCGTCAATGTCTGAATTGTACTTTTATTCAATGGTATTAAGTTTTATAACCCAATGACACCAGAACAACTAATACGATTGGGAAAACTAGTTCTTTAGAATTAAAAAAGCAAATTGAGAGATGACAATGATTACATCTGTTATCTGTTTGCTTAACAGATTGGGAAGGGATGTCCTGGACCATTTTAGAAAACTGAGACGAAAATGTTTCAAATGTTCTTAGTGTTAACAGCTATTTTTGGATTAGTTGTACGCTGCCTGCCTTAGTTGCCCAATGTTAAGAAATACTGCCTTGTGGATTGATGTCCCAAATTATCCCGGAAATCTAACACTTCAGCCGTGACTAGACGGTCATGTGAGAGCTTCTGCACATCTTCTCCAGGCTGTCACCACCCCTCGGATCAGCTGTTGTTTACACACTGTGAATCAGCAATTCGTAACACATCGTGAAACAGGTTTTGGCTTGCATTCAGAATGACTTGATTGCTGCTTGACATTCAGATTTTTTTATTTTTTTTTCGTTTAAAGATACCGGCTCACTTGATGCTCCGTTTGGAGAGATGCTGGGCCACACCCACCAGGGATCCATACGGCAACATTCAGTACACCTTCATCAGAGACAGGTGTGTCACTGTGATAACGCTCAACAAGTTCATTTTGACTGCCTGCCTTTCTATTTACAAGAGAAGCTTGTTTGTGGTGCGCTCTATTTCAGTGTTATTGCTCCACGTTTGCGACGAGCTCTAGAGCACTGTTGAAATCTGAAATAAGAGAATTTGTTGCCTAGAGAGCGGGTCAGACAACAAATCCCAGAGCCAGGTCATGTGACTCCGGTCTGAAAGGCCACATGCGGTTCAGTTCAACAGCTGTGCATGCCCTTGACAACCGGGGCAGCGTTTGGTACTGTTAGCGACAGCAGGACTGTGAAATGCACAATGATTTCACAAGGTCAAGAAAAGGAGGAAAACACTGCTGGCTTAGATGAGCTTAAAGGAGTAGTTCAGAATTTTTAGGGAGAGTTTCTGTGAAATGGTTATAGCAGCTAATAACTAAACTCTCTTGGCATCTTCACTTACTCTAAATTCAGATTAGCTGGACCTGGAAGCTGAAGCTAACAGCTAGCCCGAGAGATGCAAGGCTAAAGCAGAGGTTTTTGTTTTTTAAAACAACTGTAAGTT